ATAGTGCTGTGATAAGCTCCGCGGGTGGCCGTAGTGCAATTTAATAGGCACTAGCTGACTGTTTAATTGGATTAAAGATAAGCGATAAAGTCGATGTTACTCCTTCTGTTCTATTTTCTCTATGTTCAGGCTAGTTAAGCATTATAATCATACTTTTGGATGGAGTGATTATTCTCTTACAGCTGATAACCTACAAAAGCTGATTGAATCAGTAGGTGTAAATAATATATTGAATTGGAAAAAGGTAGATTTAAGTAATATTGATCTTTCTTCAATCAGTGGTAAAATATTAGCTTGCCTTTTTAAAGTCTCCCCAGACCTGATCAGTATTAACTTGAGTCATTGCAGTTTATCAAGCTGCATTGTTAATGAAATGATTAAGGAATGTGATAGGATGAATGTTGTATTGAAAGACAGGATGTTTAGACTGGAGGGCTTTGACATTTCAGATATTGATGGTAAAAAATTAGTCAGGATAATTCATCAGCCTAATGATGACTATTTTTATCATGATTCTGATGATGATGATGATGATTATGTTGATTGCTTTTACATGGAGTAATTATTCTCTTACAGCTGATAACCTAGAAAAGCTGATTGAATCAGTAGGTGTAAATAAAACATTTAATTGGAAAATGATAGATTTCAGTAATATTAATCTTTCATCAATCAGAGGTAAAACATTAGCTTGCCTTTTTAAAGTCTCCCCAGACCTGATCAATATTGACTTGAGTCACTGCAGTTTATCAGGCAGTATTGTTAATGAAATGATGGAGGAAAGTGGTAGGATGAGTGTAGTACTGTATTAACCGACAACATGCTTAATTTGAAGGACAATGACCTTTCAAATACTGATGCCATCAGTTGCTAGCATTAGTCATAATAATAAGGTTAATCATGTTCTTGTTGAAAATGATTTTCATGTCTTTTTTTGGTGTCACTGATGATATATTGGCCCAAATATATGAGAAAAATTACTATTTTACAGTATATATATTTCTTGTCAAGATAAAACAAAATAGATATATAAATCATAGAAGAATTTCATTTCTGTCATTAATAAAATGTACTTGACAGTGAAACATATTTTCTTGAAATCTATAAAGTATGATGCTATAAAAAATAAGTTTCCATAAGTTTTAAAATTTGATTGTACAGAATATTGTAAATTTTATTGTACACTCTTTGATGTTCCAGGGGCTGCGGGCACCACTTGTGATGATATGGCGCTCTGTTGCTGACACAGCCCCTGGGCCGTTTGTGCCAATAAAATAAATGAAATGAAATATTAAGAGATTGCCTTTTTACTTTTACAATAGTTATTTTTTATAATGACACAATTAAGAAGGTCTGTATCCAAGCCTTTAGATATTATATATGTTAAAATACGTAAGGTTTTGTTTAACTACTGTCAGCAGTTGTATACATTAGTCTAAATATTAGCAGTGATAACATACTCACTGCTGGCTAATCTTTTCTCACTGAGCAGGCATATACTCTTGGAATTTAGTAACATGCACAAATGCAACATGAGAAAATATATTAATAGAATTAATTTATTTTGTTTGCATTTTGTATTATTGTTTAACCCTTATATGATTTTATTAGCTAGATGCAATTAGATATTGAAATAGATGTGTGAACTACAGCCATACATAATTTTAGTACTGACCGATACATTTTCAAAGATTATGTTACTTGAATATTTAAATAAACAGTTAAATTCAAAGAAGTCCATGGCACATGTCATTTATTTGCATTTACTGTGTTTGCTGTATTGTAATAATAATAATAATAATTTATTTGGATATTAGCTTTTGAATCAGTGGCACTCAACCACAGGGGTGTGCATCCTAACAAGAAGAAATATAAAAATTACAATCAAAAAGAAAGACATCAAAACAACAATATAATCAAATTAGCTAAAACTAAAAGAGAAAATAATTCTATTTTCTCTATGACAAGAGGAACATCAGTCTCTAGATGACACGTCTCTCTCCTGCAACAGTCGTACGGAAAACAGAACGCCCACCAGAGACACCAATCAGCCAACAACCATAGGCGTAGATCCCGGGGGGATGGAGGGGATATATCCCCCCCCCCAATATTTGACAAGGGGGGGATGGTCCATTGTATCATCCCCCCCAATATTTTGACTATGTATGGGATAAAATGGAGCTTTACACACTTCAAAAGACTGTC